TACAGGGCACAGTATTACTTCCAAGTGGCACAGGCCTGTACTGTACATGCAGGAGAAAAGACTATAGGGCAAGAACAGGGTGAAGGCAGCCAGTTAATACCTACATGTAATGTTTACCATCAATAACAGCCCATAAGATGGATGGGCCATATGCTTGGCAATGTCAGGCCACGCTCCACACAATTCTTCATCTCCGAGGCTCGCCATACCAGATTCCTGCTCGCTAATTGAAGACATGTGGTCTGATCAGCCACCATAGCGACGCATGAGAGGCAGATAAAATGGTGGACATTAGGACCTTGTGCCGAGTCAAGACAAAATCTGCACATGTATCAGCGATACGTTTAACTCAGCGGCACTATAAGTCCTTGTACATATCATTTGAAATTATATTTAACACAGTGACCTGTGTCGTTTCAGTTTCATGTGGTGCACACACACGCACATACACACACTGTCACTGGCCTGTTAAAAATACAGCATGTGGACCCTTCCGCTTATTCTCCCTGGAGGTGTGTCAGGAACATGCATAGGTCCAAGCAGTAGTGAGCGTGATATTAATTAAGGTAGCCAACCTGTAGGTTCCTTTGTGCCCAGCTGTAGAGCATAAATCAGGCTTTTAACGAGGCTAGGGCCCTAAGATCTCAAACCGTGCTGGAATGCTACCTGCGCAGCCGTGCCAAAAACCTGTCTGGGTCTAGGGCTCCTATAGATCACTATGTTTAAAGGGGGGCTATAGCGACCTACCCTGGGGAGGGAGGGAAGGAGGGAGGGCAGAGCAGAGGAGCAGAAAAGGAGGGTGGCAAAAGGGGGGCATGAGCTATTTCTATTCGGTCATCAGGTTTAAGTAAGCATGTGTGGCGTTGGTGTGTAAGCGTGCATATGTGCTACAGCACAACAAAATCCTCCTGGTTCTTATTAGGATGCAAGGGAAAATAACAAGACACAGAGCCAATAGGAGACACCTTGATAAAGACTTCAGACAGAGCAGAAGGGTTAACAGGTACAAACTTCTCCAGTGGATCAGCAAAGGTCAAGGAATCATCAGCAAAAGGGCAATAATAATAAATTCCTCTTCTTACCCTCAAAGATATGGCTGGTAAATGCCTGAGAGAAAGTAAAACGAGCTTGCAGACTTGGGAAAGAGTTGACGAGCAGGATGTGTGGAGAAGTGTTACTTATAGGCGACAGAAGGATTTATGCTACAGACAGCTGCAGGACATGCAGGACAAACGTATGTACAGACTGACTGGTTCAGCTCCAAGCCACGGTTTCTGCACAGAGAGGGTCCATGAACTCAGACATTCCACAACAGGCAGTGGCAAGACATAGTTACACACACAAACACTGATACACTGAGATGATGGATAAATGCACGTTTTACACTCACTAGAACTTAATGTGGAACTGCATAAATGGGTCAGGAAGGTGCTAAAGCAATGTGTATTATACCGTAGTATATGTGCATTAAACAGTAGAGTAGAGCAGCAATGCAATGCATGCACTCCTGGAGAGTTTATACCAGCTAACCAACCGTACACAAATAAGTCAGTGTGAAAGTGCGGAAATTTGGATTAATGGCTGATCAGGGGATGGGTTGAGCTGGTTTCTCAGGCTGCACTCTGCCGCACCACCTGAGATTTATGAGCCAGATGTTTGTGCTATTGCCTCTCTAACGGACTATAAAACTTCATTTACAGGAGGCAGCGACGACGTCTCTACGTAAAGCGCCGTCAACATATTGAAATTTTGCGGCGCTGATGCAAATGTAAAATCCAAATAAATAAAAGAATGTAATTAACAAACAGCTACCACTACTGGGAATTCTCATGTGCTGTGCTGTGGTTTCTCTTTCCCCTTTTTACTTTCTCTTTCTCGTGTCACTTAGACAATGACAGCCCTGACAGGAATGTAGCTCCACTCCCTGCCAACGTGAACTCAGGTTCTCAAGATCCACCCTGTCATTTTGAGAGGGGCTGACAACCTCTGACTGACGCCAGGGTTGCGGGGGCATTGACCCTGGTGAACTGCTTGTGTTGCATTCCCAGAAATGAACTTTGTGAATTTGCGCAAGGTCAAACTGTAAAGATCCTATATGCTCATTCCATACATGTCCAGCTGATATGGTGTACGCCTACAGAAAACAACAAGAGGAGGGGAGAGTGCCTGAGAACAACCCAATCTGATTAGTATCTCATGTACCTTTGACACAGTTGTATACATATAAAAGGACATAAAAAGATATGCATGTCTCTTAAAACATGTGGCCTTTATTGCTCCCGTCCAGTTTCATCACATTTTGCAGTACACACAGGGGAGGCAGATGAAAAGAGGAATTAGGAGAAGTGAAAGAACAAGGATATTGGCTGAAGAGGAAGGGTTGAAGTTGAAGAGTGTCAGGAATGGCATAAAAAGCTGTGCAGCGGAGAAGATGGGGAAAAAACAAAAGAGTGGTGGACAGCTTTACACTGCAGCACCCATTCTAGATTACATTAGTGGCAGCTGCTTCCTTTGTGTGGTTTTATGGCCTGGCCCCAAGAAAAAGCTGCTAAAATTTCATTTAATCTGCAGCAGAAACTCAAGTGTCTGTCAGCCACTCAAACAAGGGGGCCTAAAAGCACCATGCTCTCAGATAACTGAGGCAAAATAACGCTAATAATATCTCTCTCCGTGGCTGTACAGGGCAGACATTTTGTGTAACCAAAGAGGGCCCGCCTGTGCCGCCGGTGCATGGGAAACTGGCCCGCTCTCGCAGTCCAGGGGCAGGACTTTAATGGCCAGTGAGTGAGCCAGACAACGTCCCCCTTCTTTCCCTCCCTCTCTCCCCCCTTTATCTGCACCTCCTGTTCATCCTTCCAAGTCATTAGCTTATGTTAATCGCTAAAACTACCAAGAGTGACCCCCAATTTCATTTAGTATGCCACTACACTTAACAGCAGATGACAACGCAGCTGTTACAGCCGATTTATTAAGGTAAAAATAACCGTAAGACTGAGCCTGTATTTTGTGCTAATTTGAATTAGTTGCCCACAGCACAAGTGATCAGATAAAATCCAATTTTTGTAAAAATTTTCTGTAAAAAAAAAAAAATCAAAGATCCTTAATTATAGAAATCGGTGTCTGCATATTCAACGCTTTGACATTAATTTGCTCCTTTTCTTCTGGACAATCATTTTTTTTAATTAATCAGAAAAATATCTAAGGTTTGACAAATTATTTTACCAAAAGTAGTTGATAAAATCCCCACAGTCTAATAGAATCTGATAATATTAAACATGCCGAAAGCAAAATCAGCCAAAATGTGGAAATGGTCCAACTAATTCTATATTTCAGCTGCCTACTTAATATCCTTTTCCTAGATACTGAAAAGTACAAAAACACAAAAAAAGCCCAACAACAGTTTTCAGGCTTCACGGTGCAGGGATGGAGTTTTGACAGCAGTGGTAACTGACAGAAAGCAGCAGTACACGCAGCGGTTAGAGGCAGCTTCCTTCCTGGGCTTTGGGTTCAAAGCGACAAGTCCACATACGTCCATACACATTTTTTTCAGATACACTGAGAGGAAGGAGGGTGATGCAAAAGGCCCCTTTCCTTCGACCTCCCAGATAAAAAAGATGGCAAGAGTGAGGAGAACTAGGGGCATGGGGGGGGGGGGGGGGAGCTGATAGAGGAACAGACCCTTAAAGCAGAGACGTAGGCAGAGGGGGTTATATATCGTTCAGACAAGATCTGCTCTCCCTCTGTTTGAATGGGGCAGATCACAGACAGTGAGCTTGTGACTTCACTGTTTCACCTGCACACTGCTCATCCTCTCAGGTTTGGCTAAGGATTAAGAGATTGGTGCCACTGTGTGAGGATGATGACGATGAAACACGGTCACCACATACATGGACAGAGTCATTTCTCATACAATTAAAATTATTGAAATGCCAAATATGGTTGTAGCACTTGTTGAGCATCGATACCTAATGACACCTGTAAAAAGGTTTTGAGAGGTGGTGGGAGCTTTGAGTTTTAGTACATATTATTTATTCTACCACTTCTGGTTGGAATAGAGGTACTCATATTTGAACTTTGGCAACACATGCCATTAGGGTTAGGGTTAGGAATTAAAAGCTTTGTCATGCCAATAAAGCTTAGTGAAAGTGAAAATTTAAATTTGAGGCAATGAATGTTTGAATGGTGTAACTGAACTTTAAAAAAGACTATTCAATTTCAATTACCAAGAGAAGATAGACAGCACAGTGTCTGTTGGTTTTATTTGAAGTTGCAACCAGTAGAACATTAGCTCAGCTTAGCATAGAAACTTCCCTGGCGCTGTTTAAAAGTGGAAAATACATGTACTAGCACCTCTAAAGCTCAGTAATTAACACACTGTATTATCTTTATTAAATATCTCATATTACAGATGTGAAAGTGGTATCAATGGTCCCCATCTAGTGTATTTAAGAATTGGGGGGATTGTGAACTGCTCAGAGGAGAGTATAAAAAACAGCACTTTGAAACCATTGAGAATAAGTTTAGGAAAAAAAACTAAAACATTCCCCCTTTTCCATGTAATACAGAGTTTATGCATGAAAGGGATTTAAAACAAGGGAGGAAGAAAGAAAAGCACAAACGATTGCTAATGAAGACGTAGCAAGCTGTAGAGGAGGGAAGGCGGAAGAGATGGGCGAGGGCAAATTAACCTTTTTAATTGGAGAGTGGTAGCCCTCTTTGGACCCTGCAGTTGGATGCAGAGTGCTGACAGATGATGAGAGGGAAATGGCAGGCCTATTACAGGCAATCTGGCCCCACAACTTGGCAGACCACAGCAATACCAGAGCCTTGGGAGAACAGGGCATGTCCAGCATGGAAAGCACTCCTCTGCCAGACCGCTCGCTGGCAGAGGAGTGCCTGCCTCAATAAACTTGGCACTTTGAACTATGGGGTAAGGGTTGTCATAAGGAAGTCTGGTTTCTTGTCTGATAACAAAATACTACCTGGTCAAAAAAACGGAGATGGGGAGGGAGAGCGAGGGAACCGGTCTGACAGGTATATGAGAGAAGAGCCAGGGAGGGAGGGAGGGAGGGAGGCGTGAGGGTGAGGAAATGTACACTGAAACACACACACACACCATTCAGGTTCACATGATATGTACCCATGCACACACACCCTGTGTCCTGTTTTATATCCACAGCATCTGCCCTGGTGTCCACCAAGGAGCCAGATGTAAGAAAAAGACATCAGAGATGACTTCCTGTCTGTCTGTGTGTCTGTGTGCGAGAGTTGTGTTTATGTCTGGGGATACAAGAAAAACAAACATCAAGGTCAGAGGAGCTGGAGTCTGTCCAAGCGATAGATACGCCCTCTCGTAACAGGGCAGTCTGTTTTAACATACGGCCTTAGGGGGACACCAGGATGAAGACAGGACCCAGGATTTTCATATTGAATATCGGAGCCCTCACACATCATGGCTGCCTCACGTATCCTGCGTCTGTTTGGTGCATTGTTAAAAAATTAAAGAGATGCATATGCAAGACGCAATACCCACATAAAGTTTGGGGCAGCAGCGAGTTCTTGACAGGGTCAGTGGGCACGTCATCAGTGACAGATATGGCTTTTTCTGTCTTGATCATAAGATTAGCCAAATGTTGAGCTTCTTGAAGGTGGCTGTCTTTGTTTATGTTGATCCCATGCAAATCCGGAAGTGGCAGAAAGATCAAGTTCTGTGGTGTGCCCTCCATTAGAATCCTTCTGTAACACGCATACTGCTGAAGCAAGTACGTGAACAATAACGTTCTGGATGCAGCCAGCTGCCTACATGGACATGCACCTGAAGACCTGTCACCTGACATCTGAAAGACACTTGTAAGTCATTCTCAATGCAAAATGATCTAAATCACAATTATGACTTTCTTTCCACCTACATATCAAGTTTCCGTGACAGCCACCTCATTTACTGTCTCACTGTCCAGAAGACAGTTGAGATCAACATAATCCTGACGCCTGGTCTTTAATACTGACCCCAATAGCCAGACGTCTATGGACATCTCTACAGTAGGTCAACAACACAAAGACAAAGAATCACCCAGTCCTACCTCTGAGACCCTTTCCATCCCTCCTTTTATTCTTTGTATCTCTTTTGTCTGCCTGGCTTGCATTATGTCTTCTAATGCATCTAGAACCATTCACAGACAACACAATGTGCTGCTTTTAATTACACTATGAAAAACCATTGAGGAGATGAAACATTAAATTGTGTGAATCTCACATTCTTTACATATATGCCCACATATATGTGCACACACACACACACACACACACACACACACACACACAATGTTCCTCCATCAGCATCCTCTCATAGCATCTCATGCACACACACTCTCGCTTGCAAATTTCTCCCTCACTCTCTCCGTCTTTGTATCCATAAACACACACACACACACACACACACACACACACACCAGACACATGGCCGAAGAGAGCAGACTACCATCTGGGAGCAGTGGCCGGCTTTGTCTGGAGGGGGGGGTGAAAACGCCACCACGACCCCCCCTTCAACACACACACACACACACACACACACAGACTATACACAACCCTTGCAATGGCCCCCATCGCCCTCCCTATCCAACTGCTCTAAGTGTGAGAGCTCTTCTCATACAATCTGCGTATATACATATGCAAATTTGCAGGGGGGCATTATAAAAACAGCCATCATCACACACACACACACACACACACACACACACAAGCGGGATATTTAGTTGGCTTAGGCACCAAAGTAGCCACGCACGAGTTCTGGAAAAGAAAACACATTTCTGAGAAATAGAGCAAGGGCGAGAATCGCTAGAAGAAAGAAGGAAGATGAAACGAAGAACCTTCTTTATAAATAACAAATTAATGTGAGCATGTGTGAAATACATGCAAATGTGATTGCATGCATTTACATGGAGACCCACATAAGCACATGCGCACACAGACACGCAAACATACATTAACCATGTTTGCCCTGCAGCATGCATGGGCTGAATTCATACATAAGAAGCCACTCTGTCAATTGACACAAGATCTAACACAACTTCACTTATGACCGAACATTCAACGCCAAGTTTGGGTATTTGACAACTCACAATGTCTGTGTGCAAATGAGAAGTCATTTATTAATGTATACCAACATTTAAAGAATCAAACTCATAGTATAAAGATACGAGAGATGAGAAGTTCTGTGGCTGCACTTGAAGTCTAGTGTGCATTAATCAATTAACTCCTTTGCCATTGCCAGTTTGCCTGTCTGTGTTTTTTCCCCTGTTGAGTCATGTTCAAAGTCATGAACGTGTCATAAACTGAGAAGATGTCTCATCTCGATGTCGTGACAGGGTTGTATTTCGCAGAATACGAAGGGAAAAAATCGCTGTAGCAACTAGTAACTGAAGATTTAAAAACAATAAGTGACGGACAAATGTTCATATTTATGTGCCAATGCTGGAAGTTTTTTGTGCGTCATAATGTCAGTGTCAGCGTCTGGACTGCCAAGAAATTCCCGCGTTCACCCAGGTGTCATGTTTCCATCACTTATCAACCTGTCTATGCCAGTTGTATCCATTCCTATTGCAGACAAATGCCAGATGTTAGTGGGTGTTATGGAAAAGGGGCTATGTAGAGACAGAGAGTGACACACACCTGCAAGGCTTGCTGGGAAGGTGACACCTAACCCACTCCTCTTGTTCCCACTCATTCACATCACGCCTTCACACTCAAATTTCCCACTTTTTAACAAATCACTTATCTCAAATCAGCACATCATGCCAACATTTGCTTTAACCACCACAGTCACATTTTTACCCTGAAGTCTGGAATTCTTTTCTCGACATTGTGACGTACCCCAAACTGTAAACATTAAAATCAGTCACAGAAACAATTCGATCAAGATGATGGACAAACGATAGCAGTAGCCTAAAGATGGACTCGAATTAAGAGATTCTTCGGTCCGACAGTGATAAACTCTCGGATTCCTCAGATGTTCGTGATGTGACAGCGCTTTCTGATCTGCCATCTTGAGGCACGGTTTGTGTGCGAGCTGAAAGCATTTGAAGTGGAACGGCGAACAGCCTGCTCTCAAAACTCAAGGGACACATCCGAGTCGTAATTAGGAGAGGGAGCTGCGTCCATATTTTATGGCGTTCACAGACACAAACACATTTGCAGACATGATTTCCATTACTGCCACATGTGTACATATATGAAATATGGATCCGTGCATATATCTGTGCATGCAAGGTTGACAAAGATAGAAGATTGCTTGCCCACACTGCACAACAGTCCATTATGTACATGTTCCATATCAAGTTCTCTCCCCCAGTTTTCACCACTCTCATGTTTGCTGTAATGTTTTCAGTACACAATAGCAGCGGCAGTGTTAAGCTCATGTTGCCCCATCAAGAGGAGAGCACCAACAACAACCAAACACTTTTCCCTCCTCTTCCCACCCTGTTTACGACCGGATCCGTTCGTCTCTCACGTTGTTCCCACGCTCCCTCGCTTCTTTCTTCTCTCCTCTGCATTGTCCTGTGCCCCCAGGTTAGAGGTTCTCTCTGTTTCCTCCTCTAAAGCCGGGAAAACAGAGGAGGAGGATGAGAGGAGGCGATAGAAGTGGGAGAGAGAGGGAAAGGGAGAGAGAGGGAGAGGAGGGCCAGGCAACCAAGGCCTGTCCGTTTGCCTCCTTCGGCCTGGCTGGCTAACCGGTCTGAACTGGTTCTGACATAGGTGAACCAGAGACGTGTCCTCTTTCGCCTCCGGACAAAGAACTGTGGTGGCATTCCATCTACAGGCAGCAGGTACCAGGGACGTATGCATCCATGCATGTGAGTATATGTACATGCATGTGTGTGTGTGTGTGTGTCCCAAGACCTTTGAGGCCTGGACCATTGCCAAGTTCATCTGTTAATGGACAGCTACTAGGAGAGCTGCCCCATCCCCCCTCTCTCCCTCCGCTCTGTGTCTCCAGCAGCCGTGCCTGCTCACGACCCGCCCTTAACCTCCCCAACCCCCAGCCAGACCTGCCCAGATACAGGCCCTCGCTCTCCCTCTCCCGCCGCCGCCTCCTCCACTCCCTTTCTTTCCCTTCCCCTGAAAGCTATATCATTCCCTTTCTTCTCCTCCTCCTCCTCCTCCTCCTCCTGCACACTGCCCCCCAACACTCTGTGCTTCTCCTATTCAAGATAAACAGAGTGCTTCAAGTTCAGGGGACACCCTGGGACCCTTTAACAAAGCCATCTATCATGCTGTCTGCCTGAGACTCCTTTGGCCATAGCAGGCTCTGCTGCTGCTGCTGCTACATCTCTCTCTCTCAATCTGTATGTGTGTGAGCGTGAACACACGGGCTGGACATAGACCAACCGGCCAGGCTGCAAAACCCTGACTACAACTTTCTCTAGCTGATCCCGAGCTGGACAATTTCCCCATTGTGTTCATGGCCCCTCCTGGCCCCTTCAAGACCAAGAGCAAAGTCAGAAATCCCCCCCCTCTCTTCCTCCTCTTCCTACTCCTCTTCTGCCAATGCACCCCCCCTGTTAAAACGAGACAAACTCGCGACACGAAGGCACGCCACCGAGTGAGGAACAGCACGCACACGTATAGGCCGCTTTCTCTCCACACCTCGGAGACGCACTCCACTGACCCCGCTCCCGATTCCCCCTGAAGTCAAACTGTGGGACGATTAACCAAACTGTCAACAGCTTAATAGTGTGGGAATAAGAGACAGACAGTAAGGGGTACACACCGCTTGTAAACGCTATGGATATTCTCTCTCCCCGTTGCATGAGAGACAGAGAAAGAGAGACAGAAAGTGAACAAACAGACAGAAGCCCCATTCACACAAAAGATCCTGCAGCATTTATGGATTCAATTATACCAGCAGCAGTTTTCACATTCATGCATAGGTTTGCTGTAGGGAAATAATATAATATGGAAGCAAGTAGGACAATAAGGACACCATAGAGAAAAAGCATTGTGAACAACCATGTGGCCTAACTAAATGATTTACCACTGATGCGCTGAATGATTCATTTCAAAACTTAAACTAATTGAGAATAGAGATTCACATTCAACTTTATGATCAATCTGCTCCTGAATTCTAAACTGATTCTAACGTGTTATACTGAGAGGTGTTTCCAATATTTAGTCCAGTCCATCTGTGAAGGTATAATAAACGGTATGATTGCAGT